GACTTGACTTGTGACTTCTGTATTATCTAAATTAGTTGTCTTCTTAGACATAAGTTTATTTCCAGCCTTAACCAATGTGCTATACTTATTTATTATACAGAGATGTGGTCTTCTGCGGAAGGCCTAACGGGTTGCCGGAGTTCCGACTTAAAGAGCAGGAGAGGTGAATTTTAGTCAGTAGGAGTCTGACAGTCCCTCTCGCCTAACCCAAGGCGGAAGAAGTCGTTGAGTGATTTTGCCCTTTCAAAAAAAGGAGGTGTTGTCTAGTGATTCTTCTTTTTATTATTTTGCCGACCATATTTTTACATTTGCGGACTACTAGTAGTCCAAGACTCCCCGGATTGAACACCACTGTTCTAAACTGAATAAAGTTACATATGGCCTATTATGTTATCTCTGGTCTTTATTTTTTTCGATATGAGTCCTATACATTTGTTCCTAAGTCTACCTACCTAACCTACTAAGTGCGAGTAATTTTTACGTGGACACGATCGAAACGTTACCGAGTAGAGTCCTCTGATTGGTTGATAAAGTTGGAGCAGCCAATCAGAGCGACAAACATCATTAACGTGTCGTGAGGCCTAGCTCAGAATAGTGCAAAGACAACGACGAAATTCACTCCTATTTTGTGGTTACTTGGTTTTATTTTTGAACTAACTTCTGCCAACGGCTTCGGTCTTAGTCCCACGGGAATAAAAGTAGACTATGTATTGTTCCAGACCATAATCAACCCCTGTTCCAAATTTTATCTTTATCTCTTCAGCCGTTATAACGTGATTGAGTTTTAGGGAACAGAGAGTATAGTTCCCTAAGATCGGAAAAGGAGGATCCTCCGACCAGGGAAGTGATCGTGCCTGGCGGGCTTTCTGCCCAACAGATGTTCGTTGGGATTTTCTATCCGTGTTAAATCCAATGTAAACTTCGCATGTGCGATGTAGGATTTTTATGACGTCATCCGTTGGAATGTACCATGTGTCGCCACAGAGTGACAAACAACAAACTTTCGCATTTATAATAATCGTATTAATAAGAAAGATTTTTAATGTGTGGCTATATCGATCATTGTAAAATAATCTTTAGTAGTACATTCTTTTTATTCCCAAAAGATTAGGAAGAGGTGCACACAGCGGCACTTAAAGCCACTGTACAATGTGATACCTACTTTTCACTATTTATGTTATTTAAACATTATTAACTACTACTGAGAATTTGAAAAAAATACAAAGAGTATTTTACTTCTGAATTTATCTGTGCTAAAGATGTGTTACATAATATATAATAAGTCTTTGTTACCAGAGTAGTGTGAAGGCGACGACGGAAGAATGATCGTCTGCTAATACTACTTCAAAATGGTGAATAGCCGGCCGTGCACTTTTATTGCAACCTTTTAAGAGAATTGAGTGGTCTGCTGAAACTGTTTTAGATTAAACTGACTCCTATTTCGTGGCTATTTGGTTTTATTTTTGAGTGTTGTATAACATGTTTGTTTGAATGCTACTTAATGTGTAGGAATTAATTGGCCGACACCGACTTCTTACCTATCAGTTTGTGGGGGTAACGTATCAGTACTAATAATAGTAATTTTTTGCTTTTTATTTTTTCTTTTTATTTCTTATTAGTTTTTGTGTTTTTTTTAACGTTCAATAGCGCCTTCCTGGTCTAATTGAAATAAATGATACAGACTTGACCTTAAAAGTCACATGAAAGTCAGGTCAGGTTACTAGCATACAATAAAAGTAATCAGTTTACGTTTGACCTTCAAGACACCCACATGTAATCCTTTACCGAAATGTCACGATTCAAGAAGTTCCCGAAAATCTCCTGCATTTTAAAATAAACCCAAACCCAAAGTGGGAGTGATGAAAATAGCATTTCTTACAAATGTTGATTAATATTGTAGTTGTATATAGTTAGTATATAGTAGTAGTATAGTAGTAGTATAGTAATAGTATAGTGTTTTTTTTTTAAGGGGGGAAAATCATCGAATGCTTGATCCCCGCCTGGGTGAGGCGGGAGGGAGTGTCAAAATCTTACTGACTAAAAACCACCCCGTTCCTTCTCCTGCACGTCGAGCCGGAGCCCCGGTTACCCGTTAGGTTCTCCGCGACATAGTATAGTGTATAGTAGTTGATTACGAGCAGTTGACCAGACTCTTTTTGTGGAGAAGTTTAGGGGGGACAAAATCATCGAATGACTGCTCCCGTTTGGGTGAGGCGGGAGGGAGTGTCAGACTCTTACTGACTAAAAACCACCCCGTTCCTTCTCCTGCACGTCGAGCCGAAGGCGCGGTAACCTGTTAGGTTCTCCGCGACAGAAGTTTGGTATAGTATTTGATGCTAGTGTTTACAATACCATTGTTCTCTTTCCTCTTCTGTCCATTAAACATTTAATTCAGCTGTATTTCATAGCAAAAAATAATTAAAAAGAAAAACAATAGAAAATAAATATTTTACTGATGACATAAAACAAAAAAAAATGCCTATATGTATTGTTTTAAAAAAATAAAAATTTATAGTATTCATTTTAAGAACACATTTTTAATATTCAATACACATTTAATATAAAATTTATTTGTTTATTTTATTTGCACAAGTAATACAAACAGAATGGTAAAAAATAAATACACTAAACCCAATGTGTTTTCCACGAAAGTGTTCGTACCAAAATACCATATGTTATGTGTAACATATTAATGTAACATTTCAGTTTCTTTCAGTAACAATACATAAGTAGCAACAAATTGTTGCCCATAGCCCCGTACGCAATGCAGTGACCCTTTTTGACGATGGCAGCTAGTGCGGAAAAATCAATCTTAATACCGTATTTATACTATTTATTATTGTTTGCCATCAATAGGATATTGTTATGTGACTGTTTTTCATTGTTTGTGTTTGGGCTCCTGTTTGAAAAGAGTTTGTCCAGATCGAATCATCACTTCTATACCTTTTCAAATACCAAAAGTGGTAATTAAAATAAAGGAGAAAAGATGACTGCATCGTTGGCCAAGTGATCGCAATTGCGACTGCCGGGCAAGAGGTCTCGGGTTCGATATCCGGGTCGAGTAAAGTATTACAGGGTTTTAAAAAAAATCTCAGTGATAGCACGGAGTCTGTAATACTGGTTGATGTAATAGGGGGTTAGCCAATAGCTATTACATGGGATTGATAACATAAATAGTGAAAAGTGGGTGATACATTGTATAGTGGTAATATGCACCTATGCCTAACCATTCGGGGATAAAACGGCATGATATTATATTATGAGAAAAGATGAGGGGCAAATAAATTTCTTTTAATTTTTTTCTACAACTTTTTGAATATTGAACAATATTAAAATTATATATATCGTTGTGTAAAATCTAGCTCACTTTATTCTCAGGAAAATCCGTCATGCATTTAACATAATATAGTGGTATCCCATATGTGGTGGACGGTTGGTGCAGAAACAATTAAGAAGGGTTGTCAGCGATACCCTTTTAATTGTAGCGGCTATCGGGGGAACCCCATATGCAAGGAGTAAGGGCAGTTTACGAGGTCCAGTGAAAGTATCACTCCTAAATGCACATTCACGACATATTTCTAAAAACCATGACGTCACAAATACGCAGAAGGTTTTAATGAAAAAAGTTTCCTACATTTCAATTAGTATCCGTTCAAAGACTGTAATTTTCCGACGTTAACGAGTTTAATTTTATCGAAAATTAATTGCGACATCTTCATTGAAAACTTTTCACTCAACTTTAATACCTACCTAAATTTTCCTTCGAAACTTCGACAATACAAAGTATCTACGGTGGAACTCGAAGGGGTGACTGAGTAGCTGTTACGTTCAAGTAAATCTTAAACAAATTTTCTCTTCAATCACCCGTTCAAACCTTCAACTGGATTGCCAAAACATTATTAAGAAAGTTCTCATCGCGTTTTGTGCTGAGTTTAATTATACAAAGTCAATAAAGACTGAGAGATATGTTATTTCCTTGTGTCATAAATTGAGAACAGTTTATTCAGTTTCTGTGTCGATGTAATGTAGCTATGTTGATTGGTCCGATAATGATGAAGGTCGATGTGATGCTGCGATTAGTGACACATAATGAATGAGGATACCTATGAAAGAAATCACTACTGATGTTGATTATTGCTCGATAGTTTTCTCAGATAATATAGATGATTGTTAATTACGTCGTAATTCCATTTGCACTAAACACAAACTGTAAAAATGGATAATCATTCAGTAGTTTTAGTAAAACAATGGACATAAAATAAATGTCAAATACATGCCTCATTCGTGTTTCTGCATGTTGTAGTTGAAGAATGCTCTTACTTGATTTATGTGAAACAAAGACGAGTGAAGGAAAAATACGACTTTGTTTCCAAAGACACACGATTGTAATATTCCCTGAAGGTTCCCAGACCTGCCACTCATAGAAGGGTTAACTGCAGGATATATTGCTTTAAATTACCTGTCAGTCTTTTTGCAAGTCGAATCAGCTATCGATTCGATACCAATGCCTGCATTGCAATTGAACTTAAATTACATCATATTATCCTCATTTCGATAAATTCACATCACGACTTTGTTGACGAATAATTATTCATACGAAAATTTGTTTACGGCCTGAAAAGTACACGCAACTTATAATTATTATTCGATCGACAGACAGATTTATTAAAATCAAACTTATTCGTTTCTGTTTTAGTATAAACCAAATCCGTTGAATACAAATTATCGTTGGGGATTACAAGTTTAAATCGCTTCTATGTGTATGGGCATGAGAGAAGTTGTGCGTCGGTGGCCGCGTGTGTGAGTAAATCACCATTAGTGTGTACATCATTTACAAGCCCAAAAATGTTACTTTCCCGCTTCCTCTCGCGGCCCGCGTGTAAGGGGTGCAGGTGTGTGCGTGAGCCGCCCTATTCTGATAGGTTCGCGAGCTCAATGTAGATGTGTAGGTGAACGGTCCGGGCTCGCGTAGCCCCCGCCAGTGGCGAGCCGGCCGTAGCGGCACTACGACGCGCCTACGCCGTAGCAGACGCGCTCGCATCTGTCCCCCCTACCCACATCATCGGACAATAGAACCGGCGACGATTCGTGGCGTTTTGTTATTTTTTTGTTAGATGTGAATAAAAGCGACTCTTTGTGATATTCACTCGTAAAAAGCGGAGACAGTATGCTGAAGGGACACCCTTTGTCCTCAAAAGAGACGGTTACTAAGGCAGCACTATGTAATTTTTGAACATTAATTTGTTGAAATGATAGCTTACAAATTGGGACAGTTTAGTCGTGTTGCGGTAGATTGAGTGGGATGTAAGGCAGCCGCAACGGGATTCAATGTTGTGTATTAATAAATAAGCGCGAGGAAGCCTATTTTGGCGTATTATTGTAATTCATGTGACGCTAGTGTTGGTGTAACGTAATTAAAATATCAGACAATTGTTCGCTGCTTGCTGGAATGGAGTTTGTATTTCTGCTACCACATATACAAATATAAGGTATCTACCTATAATCATAATTTTGAAACACTTCTTATTTTTCCCTGCATATATTTTTTATGTTTAGTCTTCTCTAGTTTTTCTTTGTTTTAGTTATTATTTACCACAATGTTACTTGTTAAAATTAGTGACATATTGTAATATTTTTTTAGAAAAACTTTCAGACCAATTGGAGTACGATGTAATATTATTTGAAACAAAAATATAAGCGCGCTTTTAATCTTTTACAACGAAATATTGCCTACAATTTAATATGTCGTTAATTAAACCGTCGAGCGATAATTAAACATTACATAAATGATGTGACCCTAATTAAACTTGCATAATTAAAACGATTAATTAAAAATTAAGTAGCAATAAGTTTTATAAAATTTATATTTTGTTTTACGTAATATATGTAATTGTTAATTTACTCATGGATTATGGATATACAAGGAATATAGTTCCATATATTATCAAAGGAATATATTTTCTTGCATATCCGTCGTCGGTTATAAAAAGTTTTATATTTTACTATAGCTGTTGTCCACGGTTTTGTCCGCGCAAAATATGATTCCTGTCTTATTCTAAGGGAGCATTAAATCGAAATAAAAAGTATCCTATCAGCCTAAGTCAGCCCATACCCTGCCTATATTATTATAAATAAAATTATCAAATCTCATTAAGATCCTTTCAGTAGTTTCAACGTACAAACAAAGAAGTATTCACATTTTTAATATTAGCGTGATTCTGTTCCTTGTTGCAATGAACCTACAACTTTGGAGACGGGTTTATCGTATCACTTGAGCACATGTTCTTATCTGGCATTCACCTTAATACTTTATACATAGTAAGTACCTATATATTACATAAGAAAAGACACAGCTGTGTCTTTACAAATAGGTAGCTACCTATTTGTACACAATCTTCACAATTTCAACGGTAGCTGTAAGATATTCTGAATATTTTTTATGTATAAGTAATTAATCCTTCGTATAATTAATAATTAGTGTGTATAATTAGGTGTAATTATAATGATCCAGTAGTTTATGGAGTTGAAAGCAAATATTACTTTTAGCATTTATATTAATACCATTACTTAAGCTGATTTTTGACAACTTCAGCATTCAAAACAGCTGTATGTCATTGTAAGGTAAGGGTTAAATAAGCCAGAATGGTCATGGATACAAAAAGTAAATAGATATATGTAGGCAATACCTAGATACTCGTAAGTACATAATTATAGTTTGATCATGTACCCATTCAAAGGCAATCATTAATTCAAGATATTCAGAAGAATGAGATCAGAAACCTCAATATTATTTGTCAATTGCTGAACCTGAAACATCGTATGCGTTTTTCTGAAATAAAAGTAGCATATGGTACTCCTTAGTACATTTGTTACTTGCCAATAAAAGTCGCGTCAAAATCGATCCAGCCATTCCAAAGATTAGAGATTAGACAGTACAAACAAACAAACAGGCAGACGGACAGACAAATATTGTAAAAGTATTATTTTGGTATATGTACACATGTATATTCATATGCATGTAGTAGAAAGTTATTTCAATATTACAAACAGACACTCCAATTGTATTTATCTGTATAGATGTAGGTACGTTTTCGGACTAAAAATAGAACTTTATTTGAACTCATTACTAGTAAGGTAACAATTCCTAATTTAAAAAAAAACGGCGGGTACATAATTTACACAAGTACCTAAAAGGATCTATTAACATGTAAAATTCTGTGGTACTATTTGGTGTTGCTAACCTCTGCCTCTTCGACTGCACCGCAGTTGATAAAACTTATTTAAGGTTGGAAATGTTGTTTGATTCTCACTTAAAATCGGTAGATGGCGCTCCTGTGTGACTTTACAACGTATGGGATAGAGACCATCTGGTGCATGTATGATGGATATTGTAACATGCATCTATAAAATACTAAAAGAAATAAGCAGTCATGTGTATTAATGAATAAGTGTATCTACTGGTTAATTATTCGTATTTATTAGTACATTTTTGATAATTATGACAAAACATAACAAATACATGATTATTTTTCGGAATCTCCCTCTTTGGTAGGACTGCGACTGGTGAGTGAGGATCCAACGTTTGTTTCTAGTTTAGACAGGGGTTTATCTAGGTTTTTTCAAAAAAAATATCTTTTGTAGTCCAGAGTCTGGATACATGGCAATACAAAAAACCATGTATCGTGGAGTGTGATGTTACAAATTTATATTATATCTATATCATAATATTAATTCAGTTTTACACACCGGATACAAACTAGAGTCGCCTAAATCATTGAGGGTTTTAAAAACTAGTCTCTTACACGGATTATTACGAAATTGCTAACGATATTTAGGTACGTTATTTGAACAATAAGTTCATAGGGGCTAAAATGGGTTAAAAAGTTTTACGTGAACAAAGTCCTAGTTACAAATTAATGAATGTAAAGAGGTTTTAATTCAAACCTTTGTTAGTATGCGCTATGTACCTTGCATGTGTGTGTAAACATTAAACATTTCGGTTTGTCCTTAAGTTCTATAAAAGTAGTTGATTACTGAAAACTGAGGCCTGAATTGAATACTGAGACTTAAGAAAACTGGGGAAATTATAAGTTTGAAATCGCCAACTCGCTTTGAGCAAGCGTGGTGATTAATGCTCAAACCTTCTCAGTGCGAGAAGAGGCTTTGCTCAGCAATGGACATTTAAATTATAAGCTGTTTATAAATTGAATGTTGTTTAGTTTGGCGGGTGAATGTAGCTTTTATTTTAAATACGTAGGTATAGTAATAATCTTAATGCACATAGATAGAAATTAAGAATTTGTAGTTCTCGAAAAAGATGAGAAAAAATTAAAAATGTATTCGAGTATACAACTTTCGTCTGTGGTTAATGATCATAAACTACATATATATCTTTACATGAGACGAAAAATGATCAACGATGGTACACAATAGGTGAAGTCTCTAATTCCAGTCGCTCGAATATTGAAAGGCTACTCATGTTTAAGTTGTACTTAAATATCGTTCCATCTCTATCATTTCGCAAAGAATTTGTAGTGACAGGACTATAAATAAAATTGTGTGGCGCTTGAGTATTTGGACATAACTTTCAGTAACATTTTCTAAAAATAATCATCAAGATGTTTACGAAAAAGCTTAATACACATTTCGTGCACACTCAATATACATACTTATTTACACTCAAACATCAGGTATCTTTGATTGCTATGCAAATCTAAGCCTCGCAGTACCTGACGTACATTTTACTCACGTCGACTTGAATGTTTATATAAAATCAGTGGCTTGCTACATTTTCGCAGCTCCCAATCTCCCGCAGAATCTAATTATGCCGAGGTACTGATTCTGGCCAATTTAATGAGTACGTGATCAGTTCTTCGTGTGTAATCATGTATTTTTGTTGCGTATCGAGCTGGATTTTATATGTGTGTGTAATCAAAATTTCGAGTGTTTAAGACTATCCGTTTGAGGATATTGTCGCATTTTTACTTACTGTAATAACTTTAATAGATACATTAATGTTAGGACCAGCCCACCAACAACGATTACTTTGTTTAGTCTAGTCTTCCTTTCGATGAAAAGATGTTTTATTTCAGCTTTATTTATTCATTGCGTACAAGGACATTACATGAAACATTTGCATTACTGAAATCCAAACAGCACTTTAAGTAAACACTGTTAACAAAAGACCCAAAAAAAGATAACACTGATTGCAAACAACCACTAGAAAAATGGAAACAAATTGCAAAAAATAACACAAAACAATTTGACGTAATACATTGCAGGCTGTTACAAGTTAATCCTTCGTACAATCGATAGCTGTTCAGTGTTCAGCGTCCAATGTTCAGTGTTCAGTTGTTCAGTACACCCACACTTTGTCTATAACGAACGTAGAGAAATACTTTCAAAATACCAAAGTCCAAGAATGTTTAAGTTCAACCAAGTTTATAAAATGGAGAAATGCTTACTTTTACAGCTTCACCTTTGTTCTTCACGAAGCTGAACTCTCGTTGGATTTATGTCGGTTTATTGTGGTTATGTTAAAATTGTACAGTTAGATGTAGATATTCTAAGTGTTATACTTCTGACGGAGGTTGGGTTAGGCCTTTTGATGATTTTTGATGATTGGTGAATTATCATACATTACAAATCCTACAGTCGGGCTTAGGTTTATATTTCCTATAATACTAGTTGCCTCTGGTGTGGCAGTATAGACTTCATTGCCACTTTATTATCTTCAACCTCAGTGATTTGAAAATACACATTCTGATTATTACAAACTATAATTAATTCCATGTCATCAAAAATTGACGATATGTTTCAATTCACCCATAAAACGAGTATCCAATTAAACATAATACCGACATTCTAATATTATTTCTGGGTGTCATCACTTCTGAGACTGAAGATTGACGAGATCGATACCAAACTTCATCCTGGCACACAATAGACGCAACCAAAACCCACCTTTAAGTCCTGTATACACTTGCAACAATTCCCCGTTGTTACGCCCAGCGGTGTTGTTTGCAGTACTAGCGATACCGCGATTGACTGGGTTCATTGTTTGACGCGGCGGGCGTAACTCTATTGTGGACGGAAAATGTCATAGCCCACTCCGGTGTATACCCGTCCTATGTTACGTTCGATGTATTGTATTTTACGCAGTTTTATGTCAACTTTGATATGTCTGTGGAAATTTTACACAATTTCGCGCCGTCAGTCGATGTCGACCCGGTTTTACAATATTAGTCTGTGACACTTTTTTTTTTGTTCAAAAACAAGAGCAGAAAATACTAAACCGAACTGTGTGCGAGGAAATATTTTTCGTAATTAATGTTTTGAAAAATGAAACTAGTTCAACGGATTGTCATGTCACAGAGATACCTCTGGGACCATGGACGGACCGCAAAATGTTCGAAACTATGGAAAAAGTTGTGACGTAAATAATCCACGAAAAATGTTCGTTTAACTGGCTTTATATTTTCGTAGATGA